CTTTGCCCCGGACTCGGCCGTCCCCCCTCCGTCCTGAGCCCCGAGGCCTCGGGCAGCAACACGGGCGGGGAGCTGGACAGCTGGGTAGAGTACGACGGGTACGAGACGTTCAGTGAGGCGCCGCCGCCGGCGGCGGCCAGTTTCGGCGTCGAGAGCGCAATGGACCCGCCGCGGGATGGGGACGACCTGAGACCGACGACCGTGGTCGAGGACATGGCTGCGCGGCTGGGGCTGAGCACCGAGGTGCGCTCTCCTGCACAGCTGATGCAGCAGCTCGGGCTCGAACAGAGGGTGATCGACATGCACGACGACCTGCCGCCGGGCATAGACGAGCCGTCGTTGCCTGCCCTGCCCGGGTTTGGCTACAGACAAACGAATCAGTACGACGCCCCTCCGTCCGACTATAGAGCGCCCCCGCCAGCGGAGGAGTATCAGCAGCCCAGCTACGACTCGCAGAGCTACCAGCCTCCGGCCGGGTACGAGGGCGGGTACGAGGGCGGGTATGAGGCCGAGTACGACCCGCAAAGCTACGAGGCGCGCACTCGCCAAAGACAGAGGCCGCCTGATATGCGCCTCTCTCCCGCGCTCGCGCCGCTTAGCATTGATAGCATTGATGAGGAACACCCGCCGAGCTTTGATGCCAGCGAGGCGGCCGAGGCCGTCGGCGTGCAGGCGCGGAGTACGGGCGGGCCTAGTGATTTGCCACCGGGATACTTTGGCGCGCCTAGTGGGGGCCCGCCGGCTTATTCGTAGCGAGCTCAAGCGAGCGCAGCGAGCTTGAGCGAGCTTGTCTGGGAGGCGGGAGTATGGAAGAATGGGGAGGAGAGGGGAGGAGAGGAGAGGAGAGGGGAGGAGAGTGTGAGAGGACATATCTATACCCAACGAGACAGTTTAGTAGCCAGTAGTCAGTCAGCAGTCGTATCCACCATGTATATTTGTGCCATTTTGCCCCCTTATCCCCTGTCTTCCGGTGCAGCAAAGATTGTAGAAATACAGATGAAAGATATAATTCATCAGCCCCTTAAGGGGCGTGAACAAGATGCTATAGTGTTGGTCTGTTGTGTTGTTGTGCTGGATGGAAAAATGCTATGGAGGTAAAATGCTGCTGATTGGGGTTGGGATTGTCTTGACTGAGTGAATGCAAGGACAGAGGGTATCTTGGAATGCTTGTGTATTGGTTGTTGGAGATGCTGTTGAGGAAGATAGAGAGGGAAGAAAAAACTGTCCAAGGTCGCAGACTCAAGCGTGAGTCTGCTCGCGGTGGTCGGCCACTTCGGCGATCGTGCTGAAGGGCGGAAGTGCCTGCGTCGGGGACACGGGGGCGTGGTACGGCGCGTGCTGGTGCGGGCCGTGGGGACCGTGAGGGCCGTGAGAGCCGTGAGGACCGTGGGAGCGGTTGTGCTGGGGCGCATACGTGTAGAGGTCCGAGACGGGGCGGGGACCAGTCTGGTAGGGAAGGTGCTGGCTCTTGATGAGGCAGCTTTCCGACGCGACATTCGCGTTGATGGCCCACTGGCTCGCGAGCGAGGATTCGCTCCCCGTCCAGTGTCCCGGGAGACTCGGCGTGGAGCGCGAGTTGTTGCCGCGGTACGAGTACGCCTGCGGACCGGAGGGACGGCGCTGGCCGCCGTGCGCCTCGGGCCAGACATCGCGCAGACGGCGGCTGTCGCTGTGCGATCCGTTCACGACCGCGCGGCCCTTGTACCGGCCCAAAGACGAGTGATCGTCGTCCTCGGTCGTCTTGCGAGCTTTGGAGCGGCTGCTCGCGTCGTCGTCCGACTCGGGGCCAGAGCCGTTAACAGCTAAAGAGCTGCTGCTGTTGATGAGCTCGTATGAGCCCATGTCGTAGCTGTGCAGGTTGTGGCGCGACGAGCCGTGCTCGTAATTGAAGTGCACATCTGTAGGCTTGGGCCCAATCTCGGCGATGAGCTGGTTGCGCTTGGCGAGTACGGCGCGGGCACGCTCCTTTTGCGCGCGGTCGGCCGCCTCGCGCTTGGCCAGGGCGAGCTCACGCTCCTGCTCCTTCTTCGTGAGCGGCTGCTCCGTGGGGGGAGGAGCGCCCTCGCGGTCCTGTGCGCGGCTACCAGACTGCGTACGCTTCAGACCCGGGTGCGGCAGCGCCTCCTTGATGCTAGAGAGGTTCTTGCGCGACACTGAGCCAAAGTTCCACTTGCCATTCTTCTTCGACTGCAGCTGCGACACGGGCACAGTCGGGAGAGACACATTCGTGTCGTCTGGGCTGGCGGGGTGCAGCGGCGACGGCGTCGTTGATTCGGACTGCGGGCTCGACATGTCCTGGTGGTATGAGCCGCGGGGCGAGGCGCCGTGCTCAAAGGCAACGAGACTGGGAGTCGAGAGCGTGCCCGAGTCGGTAGCCTGCTGGCGGTGGTAGGCCGCCTGCTGGTTGACGTACGCGAGGACATGGGGAGGGGCGCGGTCATGCTGGCTCGGGTGCGCAACGCGGTCGAGATTGGCAGTGGACAGGAGACTGACGTACGACGGGTTCGATGGCGAGCCGCCGGGCGTGTCGACGGCCATGGACTGAGCCATGGACGAGCGCCTGTCATCGGAACCGCGGCGACGGTACGGGCTGAGCTCGTCGCGGGGCATCTCGAGCGCACGCAGCTGGTGCACGATGGCGGAGGCGGCGGATCCCTCGCGCTGCAGAGGGACGGCGGCGGGAAACAGGTGCGACTGCTGTTGCTGCTGCATCTGCGCAGCCTGCTCGGGTGTCCGGATCTCGACAGGTGAAACCTGCGGTGGCGGGATCGACATGTGCTGCGGTGCCTGGACGCGGAGATGCTGCGGAGCAGAAGCGCGTCCGGCAGCGTCAGCAGGCTGAGCCGGCTGCTTGGGCGGCTGAGGCTGGGCCTGCGCCGCCTGCTGAGGAGGCTGCTGCTGCTGAGGCGCAGCGGCGGGCGCGGCTTGGCGAGGTTGGCGCTGGCCACGGGGCGGCTGACCGACATGGAAGGGGATCTCTGGAATGAGCGGCGTTTGGCGGATGTGAGGAAGCGTCTCGTGGAAGTAGGGGTGGTTCGTGCACTGAGCCGCGGTGATACGGCGCTTGGGGTCGTAGCGCAGCAGATCGGCAATGCAATCGATGAGCGACATGGGCGTCGTCTTGGGGAACAGCGAGTTGAAGTGCTTGGGCGCCTTCTTCGGGAACTGGAAGCCCATCTTCTTGGACATCTTGACACCAGTGTTCCATGCACCACCACCGATCGGGCGACCGCGCTCGTCGACACCGAATTCGTCGCTGGGTTCTCCCAGGCTCTCCGCAATGCGGTACACTTGGTCGTGCTCGCTGACGCCAGGGAACAGGGGCTTGAGGTTGATGACCTCGGCGAGGATCGTGCCAAGCGCCCACATGTCAACTGGTGCGCCGTATTGAGGCGAGCGCAGAAGAACCTCGGGAGCGCGGTACCATCGCGTCGACACGTACTCGGTGTAGGGCGGGGTTGAATCAATGGCCCTAGCGAGACCAAAGTCGGCCAATTTGATGATAACCTGGACGTCACTCTCTAGCTTGTCCGGCGTGAGATTAACAGCAGCCGAGTCGTCGTGGTAGCCCAGCTTGCGCCGTTCGTTGATCTCCCTTAGCGCAGGGATCGTGAGATAGTCGCACAGCCCGGTCGTCGTGACAAGCAAGTTCTCAGGCTTGAGATCGCGGTGAAAGTAGCCGTTGCGGTGAATATGGTGCAGGCCGCCGACGAGCTGGTGGAAGCAGCTCGCGATGAGTCCGGCGACGAAAGGTTTGCCTTTACGTGACTTTGTCAACTGATAAAGGTTTCCCTCCATGCACTCAAACACAAAAAAGAGCCCGCCATTTGTCGGCGAGATGAATGCGTCGTAAAGCGGGATGATGGCAGGGTGCGGCGAGAGCTTGCGCAGAGACTGTGGTAACGCGTCAGTATGCATTCCGTTTCGGTCATAAATATATGTGTGTGTGTGTGTGTGCGTGTTGTGTGCTGATGATGCGTGGGGACGCATGCGATGCGTGTGTGCACACTGTTTGTTGTTACTCACGACAAGCTCGCCCAGAGTCTTCGCCTGGGCCCATCCGCCCTCCCACACGCGCTTCATGCGCTTGACGGCGACGAGACGCTTGCCCGTCCACTCCGATCGAGCGCCGGCGCCGCACTGCATAGCGCTCAGCATGACCTCTGGCCGCACAGGAGAGTGCCAGTCGCAGAGCCAGACGGTGCCGAAGGATCCGTCACCGAGCATCTTAATTTCAGTGTACTTGCGATCGGAACCTTTGACGTCAGCATAATGACTACAACACCTTCCCGCTCGAGGGATGGGGGGATGAAATGCTAAATGTTTCAAACACTCACATGGGTCCTCGACGCCTACTCGGCCGTCGTCGTAGGGTGGTCGCGAGCGTTGCTGCTGCATGGCCATGGCGGCGCCGCTGCCAGAGCTCCGGCGAGAGGGAGGTTCCAACGGCGAAGGGAGATGCGAGTTTGAAGAGCGGTGTGCGGGCGGTGCGGGTTGCAGGGGTGCCGGTCGCGAATATTCATAGTGGTGGGGTGGGGGTGCACCACCCTGCCACGGCTGTTGCTGCTGCTGCAGGAACTTGTGCTGTCCTCCTGGCGGTGGTGGTCCGGTTGGTCCGGGAGCTTGCAGCGGCGGCGTCGGAAGATATGAAGTCGACGATGGCGAAGGACCTTGCGAGTTCTGCGAAAGTGAAAGGGACAGCGCCTGAGACCCTGTCGGAACGGGTGGTCGTGTGTGCCGGTAGAGTGGAGGCTGCTGGGGGTAAGATTCCAACGACCGTTGGGAACTGGAAGCCGGGTGCAGGTAGGGGTTCGAGTGGTTCGACTGCTGGTATGGATACGTCGAGGAAGACGACGAAGGGCCGGGGCAGGCGAGAGCGACACTGGAAGTCGAGGCCGCAGCGTTACTCGAGTAGACCTGGTGCGGGTGCTGGTGAGGCGGGGGCTGCGGGTAGTGCTGCTGGTGGTGCTCATGCGGCGGTCGGGGGTGGTGATGAGAGGGGCCCATGACCGCTGCCGGTGAGGGGTGATGCAGCGGCATCATGCTGGCACCGGAGGCGTGCTGCAGCATGGGGTGGAGGGGGGAGAGTGCCGGTCGGCGGGGGGGTGTGCAACGGGACGACTCTTTCGGTCGGCTCGCGTTGCTGTGACTTTGGTTGTCGCTAGACGGTTGGTAGGGCGAGTCGCAGTCGTTGAGGTGAACAAGGTTGGTGGTGGTAGTGGTGAAGAAGGGGAGTCGGTCGGGTGGAAGGAGTGTTGGGTGTGTGTGTGTGTCTGTTGTTGAAACGATGACCGATGGCAAGAAAGATGTGTAAGGAGAAAGAGATGTGCGATGTTGGAGGTTGACCCAGCAAAGATTACAATGCCAAGGGAGAGAGAGTAGAGTGTGTCGCGCGGACGCGCAGAGGCCCTCGGGGAGTTGAGTCGTCGGTGAGTTGAGGATGTTGGTCGGTCTGTCGGTCGGTTGTATGGAAGATGTCGTGGTGGGTTCAAGGCAGCCGCAGCAGCAGCACCAGCACCAGTACCAGCAGCTGCAGCGGCGGCGGTGGTGGTCGCAGTAGAGATGTGTGTGTGTGTGTGGCCGAGGAGAGAGGAGAGATGCGGCGGCGCACAGGAGGAGAGAGAGCGTAGAGGAGTGCAGCAGTGCAACTAAGGTACTAGGTTTTTGTTGAATGAGGGCCCAGGGTCGGGAGGGTAGCCAAGGGGAGGGGGGGGG